GAGCACAAAGCTCTCCCCAGCACAAAGACCACCCTGAATCACAACGTGTTCAACTTGCTTTCACAACACTCCACACTTCCCAATTCCCACTCAAGTAGACAGTGAATACAAGACATGAAGACATCTTCCCAATAGAAAAATGAATTACTTTCATTTAAAAATTACTGAGCCCTGGCTGGTGTGGCTCAGTGGTTTGACTGCCGGCCTGTGAACCAAAGGGTTGACAGTTCGATTCCCAGTCACAGCACATGCCTGAGTTGCAGGCCAGTTGGGGGCATGTGAGAAGCTACCAGTCCATGTTTCTCTCCTGCATCAATGTTTCTCTCCCTCTCTTTCTCCCTTCCTTCCCCTCTGTCTAAAAATAAATAAATAAGCAGCTCAAAAATTATTGAGCACAGAATCGCACAAGGTTAAGAGTTGAAAAGGCCTTGCAAGCCATCCAATTCTGTGTCCCATCTATTGCAGCAACTGTTCCAACAGCACCTCTGGGCAGCACATTTGGGGCCTGAAATCTAGACGAGAGGTGGGAAGTAAGACTCTTTGACTTGAACGTCAAGTAATTCTGAGTATGTATAGCTTTAAAAAGTTCTGTTACTATAAAGATCTGGTAGGTAACAGTTTGACAGAAGGAGATGAAAAGTAATCGGAGTGATTTGGTCTTTCTCCATTATTTCACTGTCACTTGCTACACAATTTCCCAGTTACAAGAAAGTTAAATTTATAACCTATTAACAGTAATTTTTGATGTCTTTAAAAAGATGTGAGCTACTAAACACACGTGTTACTTTTGGGCCCAAAACCGAATAGGTTTTTCAGCTTCTAAAGATCTTTTCAAAGTAGGACCTAAATGGACATGAATGTTTTAGTCAGTCATTTGCTCAAGAAATAAACAGTAGGGACCTACTCTGTGCTGGACACTCTGCTAGGCACTAGGAAGACAAAGAAGGCAGAAAAGACACGGTCTCTTCTAAAGGGGCTGTGTTTATGGAAGAGACAGTCAGATCATCACCCAAAGAATCGAAGATTTTAACAAGTGCTAGAAAGGCAAAGCCCAGGATGCCCTGAGAACGGGTAACAGGGAAAACAACCAACCCAGCCTGGGAATGTGCAGCCTCTGGACAGGACAGAAGTGATGTTCAGGCTGAGATCGAGATGGCAGCCATTCACACGCACATAAAATGTATCTCCATGAAATGAAAGGCTGGCCCAATAAGCCCAGCTACCTTTGGCATCTTTACCCTAAAACAACCTCTTTTTAAAGAGAAGAGCAAAGTATGCTACAAAGAAGCCTGAAGGGTAGTAGCTGAAAGTTCTTTGGGAGAAACACAGGGTTCTACTGGTTTGTAGGTACCCCACATCACCTTACCTACTATAATTATTACCATAGTAGTTACTCAAATCTTTGTGAAAACCATTCATGTCAGTATCAAATCAGTGTTCAGCACTGGCTGCTGTGGCTCAGTGGATTGAGTGCCAGCCTGAAAACCAAAGGGTCACCGGTTCGATTCCCAGTCTAGGGCACAGGTCTGGGCTGTAGGCCAGGTCCCTAGGAAGGGGCGTATGAGAGGCAACCACACATGGATGTTTCTCTCCCTCTTTCTCCCTCCCTCCCCATCTCTAAAATAAATAGATTAATTTTTTTTAATCAGTGTTCATATTATCGTTACTTAAACAACATAAGTTCATAAAAACAACATCTCCTCCCATGAGAAACCCCATTTTGAACTTCAGCTGTGAAAACATGCTCACCTCCTCACAGGACCACTATCAAGACTCAGTGAGGCACCATGTGGCTAATCACCGGGGCAAGCTCTTTGGAGTAAATGGCATCCGCGTGACGAAGAAGCTTGCTCAGTCTCTTCCCACTAAGACAGTTCTTTAGATTCATTTCTGGGCCTCAATCCCCTCACCACGCGAAAACCCGGGGGTGCAGGTCAGCAGGCACTCAGCCCTGCTGTTGTTCTCTGAGGGGTGAGACTGCATGAACTGAGTCCCACCGAGCTCTAGAATCCGAGCTGCACGTGTTTTTATTTTATTTTATTTTTTACTTTTTTCTGCACATGTTTTTAAAGGACTGAGATTATGCTTCTTGGCTCCTTGGCCACTCCATTCCACATGACTCCATACCTTCTTTCAGGAAGTTTTTTAAGAGACCCTTAAAAAAAAAAACCTCATCAGAGGATATGTTTTTCTTGATTTTTAGAGAGAGGGAAAAAAAACATAAATTACATGCCTCCCATACATGGCCCAACTGGGATTGAACCTGTAAATCAAGGCATGTGCCCCAACCAGGAATTGAACCCACAACCTTTTGGGGTAAAAGACAACACTCCAACCGAATGAGCCACCCAGCCAGAGCTTAAGAGATTACACATAGATTTAAATTGAATGTATTCACACAAATTTGAATTTCTAAATGATCTAAAAATTTGTTGTAAAACTTTTATGCTCAAAAGAAAAAAATGGAAAAAAAGTCAAAATGACCAACTTTTAACCCCAAAAAGTAAAGTTTAGTTTCTAATGAACAATATCTCCTCTATTTTAAAATTAGAAAGTAGAGTCACAGAAACATCATTGATACTCAGAAACAGTAAGTGCAAATTCATTCATGGAAAAAAATTTTTTTTAAGAATTCATACAAATTTTTTTAAAGATTTTATTTGTTTATCTTTAGAGGGGAAGGGAAGGAGAGAGGGAGAGAAATATCAATGTATAGTTGCCTCTCATGGGTCCCCCGCTGGGAACTGGCCTGCAACCCAGGCATATGCCTGGAGTTGAACTACCATCCTTTGAGTCACAGGCCCGCGCTCAATCCACTGAGCTACACCAGCCAGGGCAGAAAAAAAATTTTAATTATAATACCCAGATGAGAGTTGAAATGTCTACCATTTAATGCAAGTGTATGATGAGATATTACCATGTCAAAGTAAAATTTTATGAAAAAATTAAAGTGCTTAAATAAATAACAGATGTAAAGGCAAATTTATGTGCTTAAGATTGTCCTGTTTAAAATAATTTTCTAGCCCTGGCTGGTGTAGCTCAGTGGATTGAGCGTGGGCCTGCGAACCGCACGATCGATCGAAGTTCGATTCCCAGCCAGGGCACATGCCTGGGTTGCAGGCCAGTTCCCAGCAGGGGACACACGACAGGCAACCATACATTGATGTTTCTCTCCCTCTCTCCTTCCCTTCCCCTCTAAAGATAAATAAAGTCTAAAAAATTTTTTAAATTAATAATAATTTTCTAGTGTAATTTTGAAAAGTTTTCTCAGTTTTACCCTGTCCTGAATAGCATCCCACTAAAAGAAAACACTATGTTGAAGGCAAGAGACCTGCTTTTATGATGCAAACCAGAGCTATCAGATCCCAATGAGGTTTCCCACTAGAATGCTTCAGAAACTATACACTTTCAAAGGGAACTTTTTTAAAAAAGGTAACACCCACACTAACAACAGCTAATAAGTTTTCTTTTTATGCACTTATTTATTTTACATAAATAGATTTTAATAACTTAAAATTCTAAAATTATTTCCAGAAAAAAAGCTGGTCCATTCAGTCCTGGCATCAATGTCAGGACAGCAGCTTCCTGTTTGACAGTTACCCTCACTGCTTATTTTAACTGTATTTTATACCCACTGAGTGTTTCAAGACTTCAAAGTTCATTACAGCCCTCATATTATAAACTGCAACGTGTAAACTGCATCGTTCTCTTTTTAAAGAGGTGCAGATGGGAGTTAAATAACTCATCCACGGTCACCCGACAAGTCCATGACAAAGTTGGGACTAGAGCTAAAACTTCTGCACCTAGACTACTAATGACTTCACACTCTTCCAGTTCCGAAAGAGAGAAAATAAAGCCACGCGAGTTACTGTCGCTAACTTAGAACTGCACACCTCAGACACAGTGGCACACTTACTAGCATCCACCACAAAGATTCCCCTTGAACACATGAGACGACCTGCTACAGTTAGGTGCCACTGTCATTCTCGACCGTTCTGGGTATGTTAAACCTTGGAGAATGCTCACGCTTCCATGCCTGCCCTTTATGTGCACACTAGCCAAGCAGGTAAGAATCTGTTCCCACCCTTTCCCACGCTTCAGTGCTGCAGGCGCGTCCACTCCCTCACTCGGCCGGGAGTCGAGTCAAAGACCACAAATCTCAAAGAGAACCAAGTCATGTTGCTAATGAAAGAAGAGCTCTAATAAGCGTTTCTTTCCAAGAGATATGTTTAAAAGATGATTATGTGCTTCGCAGAATCACCGTGAAGTCGTCTGTCTCGACCGGTTCCCCGCACGGGGCGTGGAAGGCCCGCCCGCCGGGTCCGGGACCAGGGGCCAGGGCGCGCTCCCACGGAATCCTCAGGACTAGCCTTGTGCCCGGAGCGCGTCCCTTCGACCTCACGCCGCAGGAACTAGCCGTCCCGGACTCGGGGACGAGAAGGAGGCACCCCGGTGGAGACAGTGACAGCAGCTGCCTTTGGCGTTTTCGCCAAGAGCGAGTGTTAACGCCAACAGGAGCGGCTCCCGCGAAGTGTCAGAGCGGCGACAGGGGAAGCGGCCAGGGTGCCGGGCAGGTCCTTTCCGACCTAGTCTCACGCCCCCCTCTCCCATCCCCGGCCGCCCGTCCTCTAACCCAGAGCGAGACTCCCGACCCTCCCGGGAGGCGAGGCCGCCTCAGCGACCAGACGGCCACCCTACCTCTTCCGGGGACTCGCAGGCCCGCTCCCTGGCCGTGTCAGAGCCCGACGGACCCGCCAGACAGGGACGCGGACCGCCCGGGCGCCTCCCGGACGTAACCCGGCTCCCCATGGCCCCCCGCCCGCCTCCACCCGGTTCTCAGGAATCCCCCTTCCTCAGCAGCGCCCCAGTGGAGTTACCGGCCCACTCCAAAGTAAGCGCGACGGCCGCCCCGATCGGTCAAACCAGGTCCCCGCTGTCACCGCCCTACTCCCGGCCTCTGCCCACGCCGCCGGCGGCCCCGGGGACGCCCGGGTCGGTACCTTGCGGACCCCCTTGTAGATATAGAAGTAGAGCTCCCGGCCCACATTGAAGCAGAGGCGGTCGCCGTTGCCAGACTGGTCGTTGAGGTTTACGAAGGAGACGCGGACAGGGTTGGATCCCTGCGAGTTGAAGGGCACCCGGTTGGGCCGGCTGTACTCCGAGTGCGGCAGCAGCTTGTACAGACCTTCCCGGGTGGTGAATTGGGTCTTAATCTCGTTCATCTCCTTCCCTCCTCCCTCCGTCGCCATCTTGGAAAGCAGCGTTCATCCTGCCCTGAGTGCCCGGATCACGCCCACCGCGCAGGCGCAGTCCCGGGCTGGCGCTCTCCTCCCCCTCCGAAAGCTCGTCGTGGCCCCTCCTACCCGCGAGCTCGCCCGGCAGGGGCAGGCTGAAGGGAAGGGGCGGGCTTGTTTACGGCCCGACTGCGCAGGCGTGCTCACCTGGCGCTCCACGCGGCGGGGCGTCCGCAGGCTCCTCCCCTGGGCGCGGCCTGAGTCTGTGCCCTAGCAGTGCAGGTAAGGCCGGCTCCGCCCCGGGGCGGAGTAGTCGTGCGCTGGCCTCTGCTTCCGCGGCCGGACTAGGGTAGCGTTAGGGAAGGTGCCGCAGGCCTGCGGTCGGCATTGTGGGAGTTGGCTTGGTGCGACTCTGCCCGGAGAGGCCCCAAGAACCGGAGGATCTGGGGAACAGAGCAGCCTCGGCCGCCACCCCCTTCTGCTGCGAAATGAGCGCGGGAGCCCCAATGTTCTGCCTTGGGGAGGGCGTGAGGGCGGTCCCCGTTCCTTGGGGCCTCTGCTCGGGCACCCAGGGTGACAGTCGGGATCTCCTTGGCACCGACCTGTGTCCGTTTCCGAGAATCTACCCTTGGGGACCCGATTTTTGCGTTTCACCATGCTTTTCAGGCGACAGCGGGAGAGCAGTGTATATGTGCACACAGCACATGTGTTTGCAAGCCAGGTATCTGAGTACCTATAATCAGTGTTGTCTGATTTTAAGAAAGGTAGGTTGTGTCGGCACTTCTGTTAAGTTTGTCTTCACCAGCTGTTTAAAGGGGGAGGGTACGAGAACCAGAGGAAATCTAAGCAGGATTTCACTTCTCTTGCTCGGTCGTTTATTAAAAGCCCTTAATAAATTTAGAGACCGCTGATTTTTCAAAGGCTCAAGAGGAATCCACAAAATTGTTTCCCAGACATAGTTTTGTGTGTGTACTGTACTGTATACTGTGTCTAGGTATGTAAGGACAAGCACACTTGTTGAAGGTGAAACAGTAATTTATACCTGAGCTTCTTGGCATGTTGCACTAGAATAAGCAAGTTTCTGAAGTGGCAGAAACATTCTGATAGAATTCCGGGACGGGGGGTGGGGCAACATTTGTTACAGCTAGAATGAACTATTCCTTTAAGGTACATCATAGCTGGACGGTCACAGAAGAAGGGGAGGGAGGTAAGTTGTAAAGCAGGAGGAGTCTAAATTATAATCATCTTATGTATCACAAAGCAGGTAGATGCCAGTGGAAACTGCCAATGATGTAATAATGCATTGACACTAACACCCCTTATCCTTCCTACATGTTGACAAAAAAAGCACTAAAATTCTACTTAATAGATCTCTAAAATACTTTAAATTGTTTTTGTTTTTACTATTTTGATGTTATCTGCATTTACCTAAGAGTCAAGTAGACATCAGAAGTCTTTTAAAATGCCAGAATGTCTTCTGTGGTCACCATGGATTTATCCCAATTTATATAACTGTGTAATTTTACATTGAAAACATGTATTTATAATGATCACTTTGAGGGGTAGTGACATCCTAAATCATCTAAAACTGATTCAACTGTGTTCCCTTATTAACAGGGGGGAAAAAGCATCATAATACTTTTTGGAGGAAAAAAATAACTCAGTGAGCAAACATTAAAACAAAAAAGTTTATTAGCCCTCAACCACAACTTTCAATTACCCATAATACCTATATTCTATTAGAGTTTTATTCTACAGAACTAACATTTTATTTCAGTCCCAATTAAAATAGACCATTCACTTGGTCCTATCCAAAGCCTTTGAATAATCTCTCATCTCATCTCAACACTTTTTTCCCTGTACATTTTTACTGCTCCACATTCAACGATTCAGTAAATAACGCCCGAATTTGTGTGACTGGACTTGACCTGAAGTCCATTTCTGATTTTTAGTTTCATACTGGGAGCTTCTAACTGGATTTGTGCCTCACATTCATTTCTTTCTAAACTTTATCAGTTTCCCTTCCTATTCTTTGAACTTGAGGCATTAGATAATGACTTTATGAATGATTTCCTTAATTTCACGTTTTCTCTCAGCTTTGCTCTTATAAACAACTTCCAGATTAATCTTTTTTAAAAAGATTTTATTTATTTATTTTTTAGAGAAAGGGGGAGGGAGGGGAAAAAGAGAGGGAGAGAAACATCAATGCCTCTCATGCGCCCCCACACACACACACTGGGGACCTGGCCCACAACCCAGGCATGTGCCCTGACTGGGAATTGAACTAGCGACCTTTCAGTTCATAAGCCAGCACTCAGTCAACTGAGCCACAGCAACCATGGCCCCAAATAATTTTCTTAAAACAATACTTCAGACACTGTGTTCTCATACCTGGAAACTTTCAACGACCCGCGATGGCCATGTGGTTTAAGTCACGCACCCAGCAGCCGGCAGCCCGAGCTCACATGTTGCAGAGGCCCTGCGTGCCGGTCACCATGCTCCACCCTCACCCTTGGCTTCTTCTTGCTTGAAAAGGACCTCCTTCCCTCTGCTGTCCCGTTCCAAGCTGGTTCTTCAGAACTGGACTTTAAATGCTGTCTCCACCTTGCCATTCCCGAGCCCTAGGTCGCAGGTGGCAAACAAGGTCCGTGGGCCGAATCCAGCCCCCACCATGTTTTATACGATCTGGCACCCAGTCTCCATCTGGCAGCAGCACCACGCTCTCACCCAGATGTTAAGGAGCAGTTACGTTACACAGTCCTGAAGTTACATGCAGCCCTTTGAAGGCAACCTCCAGGCTGATGTGGTCCCTGGTGAAAATGAGTTTGACACCTCTGCCCTACGTGATAAAACCATGTTTGAAACCAAGCATTCTCCATTCAGGACACCTGGCTGGCTTCCGAAAATGTTTAAATTCTTTGTAATGAGCCCTGGCTGGTGTAGCTCAGTGGAGTGAGCACAGGCCTGCGAACCAGAGGATCGCGATTCAATTCCCAGTCGGCATATTCCTGGGTTGCAGACCGGTTCCCTGCAGGCCAGTTCCCGGCAGGGGATGCACAAAAGGCAACCATACATTGATGTTTCTCTCCCTCTCTCCTTCCCCTCCCCTCTAAAGATAAATAAAATATTAAAAAAAAAAAAAAGTTCTTTGTAATGAAACTCAAAAGTTTGTGTACCTGTTCATTAGTATTTTTCAGACTATGAGATGCACCGGACCATAAGATACACCTAGGTTTTTAGAGGAGAAAAATAGGAAAAAAAATTTTGAAGCAAAAAATGTGGTAAAATATTTAATAACATAAATAACATAGGCCGCCCCCCCCCCCACAGTGAGCCAGGTAAGCTGCATTCAGACTCTAAGATGCACCCCTATTTTCCTCCCAAACTTGGGGGGAAAGTGAGTCTTACAGTCAAAGAACAGGGTATATTCTTGCAGTCTGTAGCTTTCATCAGATTTTCAAAGAGGTGTGACCACCTTCTCCCCAAATTTAAAAGTTACCTCTCTAGACTTCTGTGGCACTTCCCTGAGCTTTCACGTGTCACACATAATGTCCCAAACCATTACCTTCTCTTGGTATTAATCAGCGTATGCTGACTGTCATGTATTGATACTTATCTTTTCATGTGTCCATGCCGCCTTTCAACCAACCATATTGCAGGCACACTCGAAGACGCAAGGGGGGACCCCGTTCACATTCTTCGTATCCTCAAATATTTGAGTGCCCACGTGTGCCACTCTTACGTAACGATTATTTAAGGAATGACATGCTTCATACATGATCCATCTGTGCTCTTATTTCATGAACAAACTTCTAGCCTGTGGGAGGCGTCAGTAAGCAAATCCCTCACTCATGGAGTTTGTATTCGTGCAGGGAGAAGATAGAGGATGACGATAAACACAAGTAACCCAGGCAGAGATCATGCTAGGAAAAGAGGGAGCGCAAGATAAGGGGGCTCGGGAGTGTTTGGGTAGTTTGCAGTTTAAATTATGGTGATCAAGATAAGCTTCAACGGGAAGGTGACATTTCAGCAAAGACTTGAAAGAGGTGAGGGTGTGGCCCTGGCCCACCTGGGGAAAGAGCGGCAGCAGGGCCTACCTAGGACGTGCTGTGAGGTGCCCGTGCGTATTCCGAGAAAGACAGATCTGCGGTGCATGCAGCAGAGGGGCAGGGAAGCCACTGGGGGGTTTACTGTAGTGGCCCAGGCCAGAGGTGACAGGGGCTTGGACTCAGGGCGGTTGTAGCAGTGGAGACTAAGGGAAGCTAGAGAATCCTAGGTGTATTCTGAAGGGAAAGCCAAGAGGATCTTCCAGCAGATTAGATGCGATTTGTGAGCGAAAGGAAGGCATCAAGAATGAGCCTGACTTGTGTGCCTCAGTGGGTTGGGCATCATCCCTGCAAACTGCAAGGTCACCAGTTCGATTCCACCAGGTCGGCAAGAGGTAACCAGGGCATGCAAGAGGTAACTGATTGATGTTTCTCGAACTCTCTTTCTCCCTCCTTTCCCCTCTCTCTGGAACTAAATAAATAGCCCTGGCTGGTATGGCTCCGTGGATTGAGTGCTGGCCTGAGTACCATAAGGTTTCTGGTTCGATTCCCAGTCAGGGCACCTGCCAGGTTGCTGGCCAGGTCCCCAGTTGGGGGCGTGCAAGAGGCAACCGCACCTTGCTGTTTCTCTCCCTCCCTTCCCCTCTGTCTAAAAAATAAAACCTATTATAAAAAATATAAATAAGTGGCCTGGCTGCTGTGGCTCAGTGGATTGAGTGCAGGCCTGTGGACTAAAAGGTCTCCAATTCGGTTCCCAGTCAGGGCACATGCCTGGGTTGTGGGCCAGGTCCCCAGTGGGAGGAGCGTGAGGGGCAACCACACATTGATGTTTCTCCCTCTATTTCTCCTTCCCTTCCTCCCCTCTAAAAAAAAATAATATATATATGTAAAATCTTTTTAAAAAAAAGAATGACTCCAGAGTAGGCACAAGCAGCTGGAGGGGGACCGTCACCACCTGGATGAGGACGCGGGGGGGAGCGGGTTTTGAAAGGAGGGTCCCAAGCGTGTTTCTGAACGTGCTGGGCATTGGGAGGAACCGC